TTACTGGTTAACAAAGAAGAAAACAATAGGCAAAAAAAATTTTCAAGTCAAAATTTTTCTCAGAATTTGAAGAAAAAAAAGCAAAAACAGCCCGCCAACAGAGGTTCAATCAGGAGCTAAACCACCTCAACAAGTCATCCAAACTAAATTAAACAGCGACAGGGAAGAAGCGGCCGCAATGAGTTTAATTTAAAGAGAACGAACTTATCCACTAGGCCACGCAAGCGTCGCCTGAGAAAGAGACGCAAAATTAACTTAGTTGCTACATGGGGTGTCAGCGAAATGATTCCTCTCACTTGGTATCAATAAGTGGTGTTAAATGTGTGACCTCCAAGAGATTTTAACCTGTCTAAAAGTTCAAGAAAACTGACTTACGTTTAGATTGTAATGATGTCCTGGCTGACTCTTATTGTCTGCACATGCAGCGCATCTGAAGAGGAAAAGAAAGAGCGTTTTGATTTTCTCAAACTCTATACCGGTACATGAATTTCAGCTTTCAAAGACGATAGTGACAACACATGATTTAACACCACAAATTTTACAACACTACTGAGTATGATTGCTGTTACTGAAATACATTTACCTTGAATGCTTTTTGATTGATATTGTCAGTATGAGATCTGTCAAAAGAAAAAGACCAGTGTTAAAAGGAAAAGACCAGTGTTAAAACATTATGTTAATCATAACCACTTGAAGAGAGGCCATCCTAATAATAATTTGCAGGCTGGTATGATAATGATTATCATTGCATTGCTCCAGGAAGCTTGTTTGTTGGGAACAGGTAAAATCTTAAGAAGAACCTTAGACACCAAAGACTAGGATATACTTGTTTCTTCAGGGAAACAAGATCATCTCTCGGTGTGAGACATCCTCCTCCTCATCATCATCGTCGTCATAATAGTTATGGTAACAGAAATTTTACACTTTAAATCTGGATATAATTTGGAAACTGACAAGAGCTTTTAACACCCACTGAAGTCTAATTCACTAAACCACCATAATAGCTTAACACTAGGATGCTTGACATAACGAAAATTTACTTACCCTTTTGAAAACCTTCATTCTAGCATCAATGCTTGTTGATTGCCATTTTCAGTGAGACATCTACCTGAAGAGAAAAATCAATGCACAGGTTTTATTCTTGATCCGTCACAATTAACATTCAAGTAAAGACCAAAGTAATTGAGGATGAGGGTCTTCTCT